GGAGCCTCTAGTATCTTTTCTTATAATAATTTAATTAAATTTCTTAGAGGATACATCATTTGCTGAAATCAGTCTTATCTTAGCAGATATTAGCCCCGCCCACCCACCCTCTCTTTTCTTAGAAGGTATGTCATTTGCCAAAATTAGTCTTATCTTATCAACTACTGGCCCCGCCCACCCACCCTCTCTTTTCTTAGAGGAAATATCACTGCCAAAATCAGTTTTATCTTAGCCAGTATTCATGACTAACTTTACAAAAAATGATCAACATTTGGAAACATTACCAACTTACTTACATGTACAAGACAGCAATTTTGAACATCTTCTCTAGTGTTTAGTTGGTTATGTGTTAATGGATTTTTCTTTTCTTGGTGTTATTTTTGTTTATAATTTATAAATGTCTTATTTAAGTTTTTTTTTTTGGTTTATTTATTAATGAAATGCTTGTTATGGTTATTGTAATAAAAGGTGGATTTCCATTGTTATAGTTTTGGAAATTTCATATTACCCTATAAAATTTTATTGACAATAACGGGACGGACAGTAGTACAATGGTAAGAAATATTTATGGCTCACACCAGTTCACCCGAATTTGTTGGAGAACATTTAGCAGGTAGTTGTACTCATAAATTAATGGTCATTTTCGTTCGTGAGTAACGATGGTCCCTGTCCGGACCTGGATTACTCTGCTTTCTAACATCTGGGGATTACCGGCACGCGACAACTTTAAGTTGTAAATATCTCTTGCTACTGTACTACTGTCCGTCTCGTTATCACTAATAAAATTTTATAGGGTAGAATGAAATTTCCCAATCTATATCTATACTAAGAAATCAGAAAGTAAGCCGGAAGTATTCACGCATTAGGTACGTAGAGTGTTAAAAATACTAAAGTGTTAATCCGCCATTTTCCAGGCACCTGGTACCACAAACGGTAGACAAACGACAGACAGACGGAAACGGGACCTACTTTTTCAATTCTAGAAGCTATCAAACGTCAAAAAAATATATGTGTTGAAAAAATGTTGAATTCCGCACTACGGCTGCCTCAAATTATTACAGAGGAGATACTGATTTGCGATAAAGCTAGATTTAAAAATAAGTTGATTAAAGCAGAAAGAGTGTCAAGGGTTAACCAGTAAATTTTTGTTGTCAAATTTGACGAAAATAAAATTCACATAATATATGGCCAGAATATGAATCACGCGATACAGTTGAGACTTGTAAGTCGACCCAAAACTCGACTACGACTTATAACAAATTTTAGACAGCTATTAGGTCACAGGCTTGTCACACGAACACAGCATTATGAAGTGTCTTGGTTTAAAAATTGGCTAATTCTCTGTAAAATATCATTAACTTTCGTGTCATCGCATCTGCAGTAATACGCGAGATATTGCTCGTTAGTTCAATTTGATACCCGGTTTTGTGGAAAAAATCGGAGAGTTAGAACACGCAAACTGCACTTTAGGTGCGAAGCGGAGTCTATTTATTCTCCTCTTTAAAAATGATATTAATATTTCCTTTTCTAGGACGGCGCACCCATAATTCGCGCCGGTAAAATGTCAGGGCTAGACCATAGCGTAATAATAAAAATGTGCAAATTCGACTATTCCACGGATCGACTAGAGCCCTTAGCGCGGACCTTACGACAGTTTTACGGTTTTTTTTATGGCGGAAATTATTTTTGGTGATCTGATTTGAATTTCTCGTTGTGTTTACAATTGCATGAAACGTTAACATATACATAAAGCGGTTTAGGGTCGCGTGTCGGTCGAGTGGTTGAAATATTGAGATCTGCGGTTTGTAGGTTATGAGAAAATTTAGGCAATAAGTAGGTCTGTTGCATGTTTAACTTTAATCATCGTTGCCTCTATCTTTATTTTGAAAGAGTGTTCATTTTTCCGGAATTCACATTACGCGAAATGGGGTGAAAATTTATTTCAGCTTATAGCTTCAGAATTCGCACTTCGAGCCTTGTTAATTTGATGCGAAATTATCTCACCTTTTGCAAGTGTGTTTTCGGTGTAAGCCCAATTATCCAGACAAATTAAATCGTGTAAATGGGCGGCAAACTCTGTTTTCATTTTGCGCCGAAGAATATTTGAGTTAATTTCGTTGAGAATGTTTTTATTTGCCATTTACGTAATGCACGTATTGCAAAAACGGAGGGAAAAAGCGGCCGTAATAAAGTTAAAAGGTAGCGAAATGCGCGGAGAATAATTCGGGACGATCTGATTGATAGCTCAAACGGGTTGAGTTTTCGGCGAGTTCAAAGGCTGCGGGCCCAAAATTCCAATTTGGCCTCCCAACTATTACGACTGTCGTTTCAATCATACTTTAACTGGAGTTACCAACAGTCATGCTTTAACTTTTTCTCAAGTCCGACTTCATTTAACCCTTCCGCTTCAAATATGTAGCTGTTTCTTTCTGGTTTTATCGTTCGTTCAAGTTTCAAATAAACTTCTCGAGTGCCATACTTCTGGCTTTATCGAGCTCTAACTTACTTATTTACATATTACAATCTGGCGAGCTCTTTGAAAATGTATTTTAGAGGCGCAATCCTCAAATCGGCTTTATCAATTAACTCTATCGAACGATGAGGGTGTTTTTGACAAATGATAAACAACAACGATAAAGCAACCCTTATGCAAATGCAGAACACCATGGCTATAAACTCAGGCTATTGCAACTATAAACCCTGTCTGCGTCTGTCAGACTGTAAATCAAACATGGCCGAACAAATTCATTGCTCTGACGTGATCATACCTCCGACTCTTTCCAAGAACGCTACAATCATTATTCGATGACGACCGCTACAACAAGAATTTCGATAACCATTCTTCGATCGCGTGATTGCAGTTTAAACTTTTTCACACTCGCAGATTTTATTTATTCAAATATCGTACGAACGAAAAAATCTATCACAGTTGCCTCCAACTTTCAAACTTCGGCTGCCGTTCTCCCCCGCGAACGTCACAAGATCAACCACGCGCAAATTGACTTAAGTCAATTTACAAAATACAAATAAAACTCATCACTACTTGACGCAGCTTCTAGAATGTGAAAAAGTGGGTCCCCCATTTCTCTCTGTTGTCTAATTTGCAGTCAACTCTAATTTCCCTTTTTTCGATACGATAGTCTGAGATGCTCATTTTTATAAACCCGCCACACTTAACGAGCGAAAATCCGGAGACTTATTTTTCGAGATAGCGAAAAAGAAACGAAATCGATACAACTACACGAACTTTTAAACGAACTTTGCAAAAGCTGCACAATAGTTCCTTTGACCTAAATGCTAAATATATGTTTGCAAATGCAACTACCTCGCAACCAAGAAAAGAACAGTCCCGCTTTCACCCAAAATTGCGTGATTCTCCTAAACAAGTCACACAAAGCGACTGTAAGTGGGAAAAATAATGCCCGTTTTAACGTTATTTATCGCCTCGAGCTCACTCAGAATACTTTTCTCCAACTGCGGTATTTAATACGTATTATTCTACGAACAAATTTTTACGTAAATGGATCACTCTGGACCAAAGTTGACAAATAAAGCCATAAATTCTGCGCGTTTTTCTTGCGGGTGAAACAATAGCGGTTTATTTGCCTACTGAATATATTAATATATTATAAGCATAAACAGACGATCAATCTGGAAAAACAGTCAAGGGCGTTGCAAATTCCACACAACTATATACAACGCAAAGCACACTTCATTTTTATGCTAATAAAAGTAACAAAAACTCTAAGCTCCAAATCCACTTTAGCGTCTTGCCGAAATTCACTGCTTAGAAGATTTAACACCTCCGTAGCTTTTCGTTGAAATGACTCAACATATTAATTGTAAGACTGTCTACGAGGACGTCCTTAAGCGCCTTAATATATTTCATTTAAAAAAAAACAAAATAGCGAGCTCGTTTTTGTTGTGTGACGTCACAAAATTTAATTTGCGATTTGCACATTAATTTGTTGATGCTTTGATAAAAACGCTGCGCTAGAGCTATGATTAAATAAAGAAACGTATTTCAACAAATTACTTTAGAAATACGCTATTTATATAATTCAGCTCCCAGTGCGAAAGTTGGTTTCAGCAGGGATCTGGCCCTCATCAATAATGTTGTCGTGAGTGTAAAAGCCAAATTTCAAGCGAAACGGCAAAATTCTGTTTCAAAGTCGACTTATCCTTTAGAGGTGAAATACGGATTTTAAGCAGCACCTTGTGCACTTTCTAGTTCTCGTCAAAGAGATCCTGGCGTAAAATTTCGTTTCAGAAATTTTGACTTTCCAACACCGTAAGCTCTTTGTGTTTCCAAATGCGCATAAACTCGGGATAAATAAAGAGATATCACCAACACATATTAAATATTTGTGGATCTGTTACAGCCCCCATGTTTGTTTGGCGTTTTCAGCCGGTTAACAGTGTGAATAATGAGTGGCATTTGAAAAGGTAATTTCGCGTCCCACCGAGGTGTTATGGACGTCTGTATTCGAATCCAACGTGATGTACTCAATATGTCGCTTATATACTCGTCGAAAATCCAACGTATTTCTTTACAGATCAATCGCCGTCCAGAAGGCGGCAGAAACCCCGCATTTCAACTGATTTTATTTGATTCGGGCCTCTTCACCCGACTTATTCTGTATCAATATTATATAGGAAGTGGATATTTCAGCAAACTTTCACTAATTTGATTTGGTTTCGGTACCAGTAACAATCGAAACTCATCTTTATATTGTAAAATTATTTACCGAAACGGGAACTCGAAGCATCTCCTGAATTCCAGAGCGTCGTTTAAACGACATTTTATCTCCAATATACAATCAGGAAGTTGGAGTTCTAGAACTTGATGTTGTTAGCATTTTTCGTACAGTCTAATACAATTTCGATACAACAAAACCAGGAGCAGCGTCCAATTCACGAGCGCAGCGAGCACCGAGACAAAACACGAAAATTTGTGTGGCTGTTGTAAACTTAGAACGATAATTCGAAATCGGTCTTACCTGCGTAGCTGGGGCAAAATTAATTGGCTGGTATGCTTGCAGGCCTCCACGCAACTTCGTCGTAATTTTCTGATCTTCTCCCGTAATTCAGGACAATCCCTTGTCTGTCCGATGTGAATTAGTAGATCTCTGAATAAAGCCACTTGTCCATTTATATCAATGATCAGCTGGAACCATAGAAAATATTATTGTGGATCGCACGAGCCAAATCTCCGCATTAATCAAACACGACAAGGCCGCTTGCAACAAGCAGAAAATTTTGCCCGACGGAATTAATCTAGAACTGCAGTTGAGATATTTCTCTAAATTGCGAAACTCTCAATAGAGACATCGCTACATTTTTCAATTTTATCCTTGGCTGCATAAAGGACTCTTTATTTTCAATTAGACTCATTTATTAAGCGAACATGGCGAGTTTTGCTTGGATGAAAGAAACCGGTGAAAAGTGAGCAAAGCGAGCTAAATAAAAATAAGTGCCTTTTAGATTAAAAATTTTACGTAAGCGGGTTTGTTAAATCAACAGTCAAGGACACGCACTAATTCACATATAAAACGCAAATGTAGTAATTGAATAAGCCATGTACAAATCCAGAATGCATTAAGTCATATTACACGCTACTTAATTTATGTAGATTAATAATCTGGTTTAGAATAACGCTATATTCTGTAATGCTGCTGCTTGCGATACATTCCGGCCACTCGTCCGCTAGCCAGGGTTGGGCGGTTTACGGTAAACAACATATTTTTACGTTGACATGTAAACGACACTTAAACAACAGTAAACAACATAAACGACTTCAGAAATGTTGACATTTTCAGGTTATGTTAACAAAACTCTTTGAAATTAACCACAGAATTCTATGAACTTAGCCAACCAGAAGCTTTTTTTTCTTAAAAATCCCCAAATCAATTTTTTTGTGTCGCCCTCATCCATCTCACTTTCTAACTTTTCCTGATAATGCAAGCACCTACATACTGGACTATAATTAAGCTCCAACACTACACTCACGACGAATAAAAAAATCATCACAATTGAGATAGGGTGGGTGGGCGGAGCCTATATTTTGCTTTTTTACGTAATCTTCTTTTCACAACAAAATACTAAACACGTTTAAAATGATAATTTTTGGTCGGGAAACATCGATTTTACAATGAAGTTCCGCCCCCCACTCTAATAACGAATGAAAAATTCATCACAACTGATATAGTTTTCTTTCATCAACAGAATACGTAAAATATTGAGTAGTGAATTTGAGGATAGAACTACGTGCAACATTGTATATTTTTACCGAGCGTAGCAAGCACGTTCAGGATCTTTCAATTCCACAGACATTAGTGATCACAAACAATTTTTAAACTCATATTTTAATAACAAAAAAAATGTCTTAAGAATTTAACTTCTCAGGGACACCAACGAATAATTTTTGAATAATACCTGAACGTGCTCGCTGCGCTCGCGTTCTGATTGTTCTTTTTATCACTAGGTTAATGTAAAAAAACATTTACAAATGAACGGTCACCAAGGCTACTTAGTTTTTATTGTAATAATTCTCTAGATTTCCCTGTCAAGGTAACTTACTTTGAAAAAATCAGTCTCTAAAATGCGAGCGTAGCGAGCACGAGCAGGCTGTTTCACAAACAATCTTTAAACTAACTTTTTTAGATAACAATAAAATTTTTCTTAATAATTTAGCTTCTCAGGGACACCAATGAATAATTTTTGAATAATACCTAAACGTGCTCGCTGCGCTCGCGTTCTGATTGTTCTTTTTGTAACTAAGTTAACGTCAAAAACATTTACAAATGAACCCTCACCAAGGCTACTTGGTTTTTATTGTTATAATTCTCGGGATCTCCATGTCAAGGTAAATTATTTTGAAAAAATCAATCTTGACATTTTGAGGTTATGTTAACAAACTGAACAAAATTCTTTGAAATTAACCATGTAATTCTATGAACTTAACAACTTGGCAACCTAACCTAAGTCACTACAATATACCCAAGCAGAAGCTTAACTTTTTCTCAAAAATCCCCAAATTAATTTTTTTTAGGTTCGCCCTCATCGATGTCACTTTCTAAACTTTTTTCTGGGTTGTAATGGTACTGATAATGCTATGGGTATTTACTAAAAAAACTAGGAACGTTTTTCTTTTAAAATTTTTTGGACATTCACACTGTTTGTGAGACGCTTAGATACGAAAGAATGAATAATGTATCTCATCCCTTTTCCCAAGTACCTACATACCGAATTGTAATTAATTAAATTAATTAATAATTGTAAATCATCACAATTGAGATAGGGTGGGCGGGGCTTATATTTCTTTTTTCTTTTTGATTAATATACGTAGTTGTCTTTTCACAACAGAAAACTTAAAACATGTAAAAATGATACATTTTTCTGGATAAATATCGATTTTGCAATGAAGTTCCGCCTCCCACTCTGAAAACGAATGAAAAATGCATCATAAATGAAATTGGATCGGATGGGTGGGGCTTAATTTTTGGCTTTTTTTCTTAAGATAGACAATTTTCTTTCATCAACACAATATTTAAAATATCAAATAGTGAATTCGAGAATAGAATTATATGCAACATTTTATATTTTTACCGTTTTATTTCTGTTCCGGCTCGAAGACCAATGTTTCGGCTCGAAGACCAATGTTCCGGCTTGAAGTGCCAATGTTTCGTACAATCCGAATCTTAGTACCAACGTTTTTTGTAATCCGGTTGATACGACCATGTATGGTCTTCCGAATTGTACCTTGATGTTGCTCGAAGGACCTTTGTTTGTTATAATTGAAATAATGGACAGCGTTCGGTTTTGATGTTTAATGTAGGACGGTTACAGAAGTACTAAAATTACAGTGCTATTTACAAAAACAGGTAAAGATACCCAAAGGGTCAGTGGCCGCTTCCGGAAATGCAACAATTTCATTGGAAGCATCCGACAACATTACTAATACTTGTAAGGTAAGACTGACTTTAACAAATGATATACCCTCTGAGAAAATAGAGGGCCAGTAGTTGCTAAGATAAAACTGATTTTTGGCCAATTACATACCCTCTAAGAAAATAAAGGGCGAATGGGCGGGGCTAGTACTTGTAAGGTAAGATTGATTTTGGCGACCGTTATATCCTCTATGAAAATAGAGAACGAGTGGGCGGGGCTAGTAATATGCTAATTTAAACTGATTTTAGCAAATGATATACGCTCTAAAAAACAAAAGACGGTTGGGTGTGGCTAGTACTTGATAAGATAAGAATGATTTTTGGCGAATGACATATCTTCGAAGAAAATAAAGGGCGGGTGGGCGGGGCTAATAATTGCTAAGGTAAAGCTGATTTTAGCAAATGATATACCTTCTAAGATAGAGGCGGGCGGGGCCAGTACTTATAAGACTAATTTTAGCAAACGATATATCCTCTAAAAAAATAAGGGGCGGGTGGGCGGTGCTCATACTTTTAAGGTAAGACAAATTTTGGCGAATGATATACTTTCTAAGAAAATAGAGGGCGAGTGGGCGGGACTAGTACTTCCTAAAATAAGATTGATTTTTGACGAATGACATATCCTTTAAGAAAACAAAGGGTGGTTGGGCGCGGCTAGTACTTTTAAGATAACACTGATTTTTGGCGAATGATATATCTTCTAAGAAAATAAGGGGCGGGTGGGCGGGGCTAGTACTTGTACAGTAAGACTGTTTTTGATGAATGATATAACCTCTAAGAAAATAGAGCGGGAGTAGGTGGAGCTAGTAATTACTAAGTTAAAACTGGTTTTAGCAAATGATATACCTTCCAAGAATAGAGGGCGGGCGGGCGGGGCCAGTACTTGCTAAGATAAAACTGATTTTAACAAATGATCTACCTACTAAGAAAATAGAGGGCGGGTGGGTGGGGCCATACTTGCTAAGATAAGACTAATTTTAGCAAATGATATATCCTCTAAAAAAACAAAGGACGAGTGGGCGGGGCTCATACTTTTAAATAAGACTTAATTATTGTTGATTGTACAAGTTGCATTATAAATTTTACACAAGGGATACATTTAGGCTTGGAACAATGTAAAATTAACGTTTATGATTTATATCTAATTTACTGATATCATGAAATAAAAATGAATAACGCAAATTTTACAGTGGCAACTAATAAAAGAATCTAGGATCTGAAAAAGTAAAATAAGCGCTAATCGTAACTTTTTTTGTTACACTATTTGCTATTAAAAATAGTTGAAAAATGGTCAAAAATGTCAAAATTAGTCTTATCTTATCAAATAATAGCCCCGCCCACCCACCCTCGATTTTCTTAGAGAGTATGTTATTAGCAAAATCAGTTTTATCTTAGCAAGTACGAGCCCCGCCCACCCACCCCTCTTCTAATTCTAACGACTAATTTTATTTCTGTTCAGTATAAGGTGATCAGTCGGGGGTGGGCGGAGATAATTATGTTCTTCTGTCGAGTGGGAGTGGCAACTAATAACACTAGAATCTAGGATGTGTAAAATGTAAAAAAAGCACTAATCGTATTTTTTTTTGTTATAATATTTGATATAATTAAAATTAAAAGTTTATTTATTATTTCTTTCACCTGAGAATCGAAAAATTGAAAAATCGAGAAGTCGAAACATCAAAAAAATCTAAAAACTGAAAAATTCAAAAATCTATTGAAAAGTCCAAAAACCGAAAAACCGAAAAATCGAAAATGCAAAATCTTAAAAATCGCAAACATTGAAAAATTGGAAAACTGAATAATCGAAAAACTGAAAAATCGAGAAAATTAATAACTCCAAAAGTGGAATGACGAAAAATTGGGAAAGCGAAAAATAGAAAAATCAAAACATCGAAAAATTGGATAGTCTAAAAATTGAAGAAAATCCCAAAACTTAAATATCGAAAAATTGAAAAATGGAAGAAAAGGTGAACAATCGAAAAATTGCAAAAACCCCTAAACTGAAACATCGGAAAATTGAGAAATCGAAAAATTGAAAAATCGGTAAATCAAAAAATTGGTTAAATTAAAAAATGTTCTTATACAGTTTTTTTTTTTAATTGAACATCTATATAGTTTCCGCTCAGGAAGTAAAAATCTTTAAAATCGAAAATTTAATTTAAAAACAAAATTGAAAAATCGAAAATGTGACAAATTAAAAATTTCAAAAAATTGAAAAAGTGAGATATCGAAGAACTGAAAACTGGAGAAATCGAGAACATGAGAAATTGAAAAATCGAAAAATCTAAAATTGAAAAATTAAAATATCAAAAAATTGAAGAAAATAGAGGGCGGGTGGGTGGGGCCAATACTTGCTAAGATAAGACTAATTTTAGCAAATGATATCTCTAAAAAAACAAAGGACGGGTGGGCGGGGCTCATACTTTTAAGTTAAGACTGATTTTGGCGAATGATATACTTTCTAAGAAAATAGAGGGCGGGTGGGCGGGACCAGTATTTGCTAAGACTGATTTTAGCAAATGATATACCCTCTAAAAAAATAAAGGGTGGATGGGCGAGGCTAGTATTCGCTAAGATAAGATCGATTTTTGCAAATGACATCCTCTAAGAAAATAAAGGGTGGGTGGGCGGGGGTACTAATTACTAAGATAACACTGATTTTTGGCAAATAATGACGTCAAAATTAATACAGTTAACAACTTTTACTGTCACACGAGATTATCGTAATCGAATTCTTTTTCATAAACGAATCGAAAAACGCCACAAACTACAGATGAACGAAATCTCCATATCAAAGGAAATTATTCTAAAAAAATCAACCCCTAAAATGCGAGCGTAGCGAGCACGTTCAGGATATTTGAGTTCCACAGACATTAGTAATCACAAGCAATCATATGTTAATGACAACTAAATTTTTCTAAATAATTTAGCTTCTCAAGGATAACAATGAATAATTTTTTAATAATATCTGAACGTGCTCGCTGCGCTCGCATTCTGATTATTCTTTTTGTGACTAATTTAGTGTCAAAAAAAATACAAATGAACGATCCTACTTAGTTTTTATTGCAATAACATTCAAGATCTCCCTGTCAAGGTAAATTACTTTGAAAAAATCAATCTCATAAATGCGAGCGGAACGAGCACGAGCAGGCTTTTTTAGTAATCACAAACATTCTTTAAAAACTTACTTTTTTAGATAACAATAAAATATTTAGTAATAATTTAGCTTCTCAGGGACCCCAATAAATAATTTTTGAATAATACCTGAACGTGCTCGCTGCGCTCGCATTTAAAAGTTCTTTCTGTTATTTTCACAGAATTCGATCGCACTGAACACATTTAGGTTGACAGTCTCCCCAACTTGAGCATACAATTACAAACATTTTGAGCGTGTTTTTTTTTTCGAAATATGCGAAAAATAGGGAAAAAATGACAAAACAGCTTGCAATTTCAATAAAAAATCGAAATTTTGGGACAAAATACTTAATTTGAGACATTTTGAGAAGTTGAAATCGTACAATCTATCCCTCTATCTCTATGTGAAAGAAAAAGAGGAGTCGGTTACGTTAGTGTGTCGTTTAGGAAAAAAATTATGTGCCTTGAGTTGTTTACATGTGACATACGCGCCCAATCCTGCGCTAGCCCTTCTTCCCACACAAAACAGTCCCTTATGCACAGACACATTAAGTGCCAACTTGTTCACAAACCCTTCGATAGATTACCAAACAGCAGACAGAGTCTAGAAATACTCAAAAACCATATTTTTATTATTACGTATATCTTGACAAACTGTTGTTTAAAAATGTCTTGGAATGACAAATCGCGAAGGAATATTTCCGGCCAGGCGACGTCTGTCTGAAACAAAACATTTCACTTTAGCGGGCAATTTTTCCAATATAGTGAGAAACTACAAGCGATCGACCTAACCTTTTCATAATTTGAGTAAACATGTATGCATGTGGACGATATTTTGCATATTCGAAACGGTGACCTCTGTAGTTTCGGTGGGTTGTTGTTTGGGGTGTTTGCTCGTCCAGGGCAAATTAAAATTTTCCAACATGTGGGAGCACCTTTTAATTTATAAAACCGCAAAACAGCCCCGCTCCGCTGTACATCGGTCCACTTTTGATAGAACCTAGTTTATGACCAGTAAAATGGATTTAAATGCATTAATCACCTATGCCAAGGGGCAAATGCTTGTCGACAAACCAACACGCTCTCTCCAGCGCTGCATATTTCACAAAGCTCGAAAGCACTCATCATTATTTTATAATCACCTTTTCAGGTATATTCAAAGCGCTGCCCTGAAAACTTGCCATTCAACACACACAGCACACTCGCGTCAGAGACACGCTCCCCTTATCTTTATTAATTTTCGGTTAATTCCGGTGTTCGCAAAAATTTTTCTGACTTCTTAACGAAGCACTTAAGCAACTTTCGAAGGATTAGTTTAATAGCGATTCCAGGCATGGATGTGTACTTACCATTCTGTTGTTTGAATTCTCGTCTGGTTGCCGCCATTCCAGTCTTTGCGAAAGGTTTCGTTTTAATCTAGCTCCATTTTAGCTATTTTCGTCTTTAGGGCAATGTAAACAAATCGCGTAATCTTTTAAAGAACCTCCTGCTTTTATTGTTTAGGTTGGCATTACGGCTCTTATGATCTCCTACATCTCATCATCTAAGAATCGACTTAATTAACATGTTCTTGTCTTAAGTGGAGTCACATTGTAACGGAAATTCTTCGAGGCGTCTTAAGGAAGATAAATTAAGCGCGGAGCACAATATGAAAGGGTATGATGGTCGCCGGCTTGTCATATTGTGAAAAATACTCGAATATAATATTCGGGTTCAAGATGAATGGCCCTTTTTAGTGTTTTAAACGTAAATAAATTACGCAGGTAATCCACCTTACGTTTACGTTTTTGCTACAAAAAGAATTACGACGTAACTTTAGTGTCATGTCTTTACGTTAAAATCGAGAAAAAGTATATTTACTATTTAATATATAACAACAGTAAATAAACTCAAAGTTTTTGTTTTTCGCCAGATAAATCAATTGTTTGCGTTGCCCTACATCGCAAAAAGGAGTCACAGAACACTGTTGCTGCAAAAACACCAACGATTTTAAAGGGGAATGAATACTTCATGATCTTTGTGAGATCGCAATGCTATTATTTAAATTATCACGACCGAATTTGTTGTCCTAATATCCGTCCCGGTTATTTTGCAGTAACTATCGATTTAACATTTTGGGGTTAGAAACCTCGATTACGTTAAACATAACATGGAATAGCATGAATCAATTAACGTTATTATAACGTCGCTAATGTAAGAATAATAACGTCGACAAGATCCATTTTAGTTTTTGCCACGCTTCGCAATGAAGGTATTTTTGCACTAGAATTTGATTTTCGCTGTGATTATATTCAGTGGATGAAAATTATATGCGTTAAAATTTAGTTCAGCGTCGCAATCTGAGAATAAATGTGAATTACAACGTCGCAAATCACCAGTGGTTAATAAAAGTTTATATTACGTTATTTAAAACCAAAATATATAACAAAAAATGCTGTATAACAGGAAAAAAAAAACATGTGAAAGGCAAGTAATTGGCAAACATCGACGCATTTTCTGAAAAGATCGTACGTTAAAATTTGGTAAAAATTAAACGTATTTTTGAATGTATACATATGTACTTTCAATTTATTCTGTCATTAAAATTAGTTTAAAGAATACTGAAAAATTATTGTTGATTGTACAAGTTGCATTATGAATTTTACACAAGAGATACATTTAGGTATAGAACAACGTAAAATTAACGATTATGATTTATATGTAATTTACTGATACCATGAAGTAAAAATGAATAACGCAAATTTTTCAGTGGCAACTAATAAAAGAATCTAGGATCTGAAAAAGTAAAAACAAACAAAATTAATCTTATCTTATCAAATAATAGCCCCGCCCACCCACCCTCTATTTTCTTAGAGAGTATGTAATTTGCCAAAATCAGTTTTATCTTAGCAAGTACGAGCCCCGCCCACCCACCCCTCTTCTAATTCTAACGACTAATTCTATTTCTGTTCAGTTTAAGATCATTCATTTCACTCAGAGCGGATAAAATTAATCACTCGGGGGTGGGCGGAGCTAATTATGTTCTTCTGTCGAGTGGGAGTGGCAACTAATAACACTAGGATGTGTAAAATGTAAATAAAGGCTAATCGTATTTTTTTTTTTGTTATAATATTTGATATAATTAAAATTAAAAATGTATTTATTATTTCTTTCCAAAAACCGAAAAACCGAAAAATCGAAAATGCAAAATCTTAAAAATCGCAAAAATTGAAAAATTGGAAAAATGAATAATCGAAAAACTGAAAAATCGAGAAAACGAATAACTCCAAAAGTGAAATGACGAAAAATTGGGAAAGCGAATAATAGAAAAATCAAAACATCGAAAAATTGGATAGTCTAAAAATTGAAGAAAATCCCAAAACTTAAATATCGAAAAATTGAAAAATGGAAGAAAAGGTGAAGAATCGAAAAATTGCAAAAACCCCTAAACTGAAACATCGGAAAATTGAGAAATCGAAAAATTGAAAAATCGAGAAATCGAAAAATTGGTTAAATTAAAAAATGTTCTTATACAGTTTTTTGTTAATTGAACATTTATATAGTTTACGCTCAGGAAGGAAAAATCTTTAAAATCGAAACTTTTAAAAACAAAACTGAAAAATCGAAAATGTGACAAATTAAAAATTTCTAAAAAAAACTGAGATATCGAAGAACTGAAAAATGGAGAAATCGAGAACACGAGAAATTGAAAAATCGAAAACTCTAAAATTGAAAAATTAAAATATCAAAAAATTGAAGAATCGAAAAACTGAAAAATCGAGAAGTCGAAACATCAAAAAAATTTAACAACTGAAAAATTCAAAAATCTATTGACAAGTCCAAAAATCGAAAAACCAAGAAATCGAAAATCCAAAATTGAAAAAATTGCAAAAATTGAAAAATTGGAAAACGGAAGAATCGAAAAACTGAAAAATGGAGAAATTGAAAAATTCGAAAAGTGAAATACGTAGTTTTCTTTTCACAATCAGAAACTTAGTACATGTTTCAAATGGTGAATTTTTGAGGGAAATATGGATTTTGCAATTAAGATTCGCCCCTCGGTCTGACGACGAATGAAAAATTCATCATAATTAAGATAGGGCAGGTATAAGTGGAGATTAATTTTGGCTTTCTTTTTTACTTGATACATATAGCTTTTTTTAACAACACGATTATTTAAGAACGTGTTTCAGATGGTAATTTCATGGATAAAAATGAGAATTGCAATTAAGCTCCACCCCCCGACTCACGACGAATAAAAAATATCATCACAAGCGAGACAGGGCGGGTGGGCGGGGCTTATATTTTGCCCTTTCTGTTTCTTAATATACGTTTTTCTTTTCATAACAAAATACTTAAAACACGTTTAAGATGGTAAATGTTTGTGGAGAAATATCAATTTTGCAATTAAAAACTCCGCCCCCCACCCTGATGACGAATGAAAAATTCCTCACATTTGAGATCGGGGCGGCTATAGGTGGGGACTAATTATTGGCTTTTTTTTTATTTAATACATATAGTTTTTTTAACAACACGATTATTTAAGAACATGTTTCAAATGGTAATTTCTTGAAAAAAAATGAGAATTGCTATTAGCTCCACCTCCCGATTCACGACGAATAAAAAAAATCATCACAAGTGAGATAGGCCCTTTTTGTTTCTATTATACGTTCTTCTTTTCATAACAAAATAGTTAAAACACGTTTAACATGGTAAATTTTTGTGTACAAATAAAAATTTTGCAATTAAACTCCGCCCTCAACGTTGATAACGAATGAAAAACTCGTCACAGTTCATATCGGGGCGGGTATAGTTGGGGATTAATTTTTGGTTTTCTTTTTTACTTAGTACATATAGTTTTTTTTTAACAACACGATTATTTAAGAACATGTTCCAGATAGTAATTTCTTGGAGAAAAATGAGAATTGCACTTAAGCTCCACCCCCTGATTCATGACGAATAAAAAAAATCGTCAGAAGTGAGATAGGCGGGTGGGCGGGGCTTATATTTTGCCTTTTTTTTTCTTAATATATGTTTTTCTTTTCGTAACAAAATACTTAAAACGCATTTAGGATGGTAAATTTTTGTGGAGAAATATCGATTTTGCAGTTAAACTCCACCCTCCACGCTGATAACGAATGAAAAATTCATCACAGTTGAGATCGGGACGGGTATAGGTGGAGGATTAATTTTTGGCTTTCTTTTTTCCTTAATATATATGGTTTTTTTTTAAGAACACGATTATTTAAGAACATGTTTCAGACAGTAATTTCTTGGAGAAAAATGAGACTTGCAGGTGAACTCCACCTCCTCACTCACGACGAATAAAAAAAATCATCAGAAGTGAGATAGGGCGGGTGGGCGGGGCTTATATTTTGTCCATTTTTTTTCTTAATGTACGTTCTTCTTTTCATAACAAAATGCTTAAAACAAGTTTAAGATGGTAAATTTTTGTGGAGAAATATCGATTTTGCAGTTAAACTCCACCCTCCACGCTGATAACGAATGAAAAATTCATCACAGTTGAGATCGGGACGGGTATAGGTGGAGGATTAATTTTTGGCTTTCTTTTTTAATTAATACATATAGTTTTTTTTTTAACAACACGATTATTTAAGAACATGTTTCAGATGGTAATTTCTTGGAAAAAAGTGAGAATTGCAGTTAAACTCCACCCCGCGGCTCACGACGAATAGAAAAAAGTCATTACAAGTGAGACAGGGTGGGTGGGCGGGGCTTATATTTTGCTTCGGAAAATTGAGAAAACGAAATATTTGAAAAATCGAGAAATCGAAAAATTAAAAAATGTTTTATATAGTCTTTCTTTTTTAATTTGGACATCTAGTTTACGCTCAGGAAGTAATTGTTATTTCAATGAAAACGTGCTGAATATTCGTATCGATAAATTGAGAACAATTTATGTGTCAATTTCGGTTGTAATTAGCAGGTGTATTGTGAACGAAGAAAGCGTCGTAACGCGAATTATAATGGCGAAAGATCAAGATAAATTCGTAATTAACGTCTGAAATTGCATTCGAATGAAATTTTAATCTGTATCGTCCTTAAGGACTCAGCATTTAACAACTCCGAAGCACTCCCTTTTTAAATAGTCGTAAATTTTTACGTCGAGATAATTATTGATTAAGAAAGAATCTCGAGCCCGAATCCCGTCTTGATCGGGTTAAAGACTGACCGGTGGCGAAATTAGCTTCCTCTCTTGTTCTACGTGGTATTGAGTAATCTGTGTAATTCTTGACGTTGATAAACGAGGCTGTAAGGGTCGTTTTGTGCGAACGGAAAAAGCAGAAATCAGCAAATAAGCGAAAAAATTGTCGAAAATAAACACAAACGTTAGGCATGATACAGATTTAATTTAGATCTCGTAAGTACGGCAAAGAAGGTTTAAAATTTACTTTACATATTTAACTAGTTGTGTCAGAGGCCTCTGGCGCGTTACGAAACATAAAATACGGTAAAGCGTCGAGACGCCTATCGCGTGTAAAGATATGCCTAAGGCTTTTCACTTCGCTGCTTTCAACCTCCGAAAGTTAGAACGAACGACAT